GCTATCTCAAGTGGTCGCTTTGTACAAATCAGGAAAAAGGTGCCCTTTTCTCCAGCCTGCTATCTGCTGAAAAAAAAATGGTATAATAATTATCATGCGGGCTTGTGCGGTGTCTCCAAGGTGAGAGGCATGTGCTGGAGCTGTACAGAGCACAGCCACAGCAGAGGCCCCGTACGAAGTTTTCATCATCTGTGGTCTCATGATAAGCCATTCTTATCCAGATGTGTCTGCCTTGCACACTAGATTCTGAGCTAGACCAAAACGAATCCCAGTGCCAGACACAGAGAAGTTCTGTCAGTTCAACAAACCTGAGTGCATGACAGCAGTTTTCAAATCAAATGCTGATTACATACTTGTCTCTGTTCCTCACTGGTCTGCAGGCTCCTTAAGAACGAAAACACTCACTCACCTTTTCATCCCCAGCGTCTAAGACTCAGTAGGTGCTCAATAAGTCTTGGTCAAAGGGATGAGTAAATGAATGACGAATAGAGCCAGCTCTGAAGGCTCTGATGAGCTCAGTTCCAAGTGCAGCTGGGGAAACAGGAAACTCAGACACAGGAAACACCACGTATCTTCTAATGCAAATTTTTAAAGTCCTTACAAAAGCTTGACTGCTATCAGGCCTTCATTCTAGAATACCCAGATGGCTGAGCTGTTTCCTCACTCAGATTCTGTCTCCTCTTGTACTACGAGGTGTTTTCTCTAATGGTATTCAAATAACAATGGTAATAGTGCTAGTATCTAACACATCCAGTCTTGACAGATGTTAGAAACACTTTTAAGCACTTTGCATGTATTAACTCACTTAAGCTTCTAAACAACCCTATGAATCAGATACTCCCAATATTCCTACTCTTCAGATAAGGAAACTGGGTATACAGAAGTGACTTGTCCAAGAAGCTGAGATTCTAACATGGACAGTCAGGCCCCAGCATCTACCGCTGGCTTAACTGCTGTTCTGATGGCCTGATTTCCAGAAGACCCCTTTCAAACCAAGAAGCCTGTAATTTGGAATCCTACCCTGTGTTGCCACTGGGTTCCACCTGCTCTGTCTTTACAGAGCCTGCCCCAGAAGCTGCTGGGTTCTGTCTTTCATCCTCGTAGGACCTAGGGAATGAGTGAGAGGATGCTCAGCCCCCTGGTCCTCTAATAAATGGTTCAGGGTGGTTATCACCATCTAGAGCTGACACAAGCGTCTCTTCTCTCTCACTGTGTCTGAGCCCTGTCCCCAATGCTATCTTCAACTGCCACTCCAGCATGCCACACTGTGCGACGTTGGAAGTGAAGTGAATGCACTCTGCAGTGGCCTCTCTTTAATGGGTTTGCTAAGTGGAGAAATTTCTCCACAGCTGCGACAGAATTTCTAGGAGTCAGACCCAAATTATAGAAGCAGGAAATAGCACTGCCTGGTCCCTAAGTCTGCTGTGGACCTTCTCCTCCCCACGTCATCTATGAACGAGAGAACACACTGGCGTTTCAGATAGGTCCTGAGTCAACACAGCTCATCAGGGCCCATACGACAGTGGAAACTAACACCAGTCACACCTTCAACTACCCTTTCATCCCACCTCTAGCAGAGTCCTCTAGCCAGCAGCACTAAGCTGTATCTCTCGGTGTGTTCTCCTCAGTGGAGCTTTCTCAGAAGTCTTCCTGGTGAAGCAGCGTGTGACTGGGAAGCTCTTTGCCCTAAAGTGCATCAAGAAGTCGCCTGCCTTCCGGGACAGCAGCCTGGAGAATGAGATCGCGGTGCTGAAAAAGTGAGTGGGCCTTAGGGCTGGCTGGGTGCACCTGTGGGACCACAGCATTTCCTCTGCACGTTACTTTCCAGAAGGACTGTGGCTGGGTTTTCACATCCAAAGCCTTTCCCCTGTGACTGAGTTGACTGAGCCAGTTTGGCCAATCAGTTTAGTCAGACAGCTGTCCTGCCTGATTTTTCTTTTTCTTTTTTGGCAGCAAGTTGGCTAGTGAGCCCACTGGTGGCAGAGCAGGTTTGTGTACGTGGACCAGAGAGTACTTAGCTCAGAGGAACAAAAGTCTATTGAGGGTCAACATAAGGAAGAATCAATAATTACAGAAGTTGCATAAGATTTGAAAATTAGCCCCAATTTTTACCAAAACAAATGTAGGTTCAGCACCCCAACTGTCACCATGGAGGGTACACTAACAAATCACCAAATGTTCTCAGACAGACTCTTACAACTAACCCTTGTGGAACCCCAGTGCTGTGCCAAAAGTGTGCGGGGCACCCTAACACAGGATCAGGACCACAGGTTGAGGTGGACAAAGTTCCTTACCCTCAGGAGCTCACATTTTCCAGGTGGAGATAGGGGTACTCCTAGGAAGTTCTGCACCCGTCAGATGTGAGTCACGTTAGAAGACAGAGTTTGGGGGAGATAGGGATACATTTTGCCCACACATGAGCTTTTATGAGTATGGCTTATTGGGCACATTTTCAAAGAAGGACCTTGTTGGATGAGTAGAATTTTGTGGGAGCAAGAAGGACAGTGCTGAAAAGGAATTCAGGGTGAGAGTAGCATAAACTTGAGTTTAGATTCATGAAAGTGCAAGGGGTGTTGGAGGAGAGTGAGTGCTGGAAGCCCCTGGACTTACAGCAAGTAGCATTGAGGGACAGCAGACGAAACTAAAGTAGTGGAATGGGACCTGATTATAAAGGATGTTAGAGGCCATGATAAAGAATGTTGGCTTTATTCTGTGGGAAGAAAAGTCATCAAAGAATTTTAAGTAAGGAGTCAGGTGATCGGATTCGTACGTTAGTCATCCCTCTTATGCATGGTGGAGAATGGATCAGAGGATACCAGCCTGGGGGATGGGAGGCCAGTGATGAGACTTTCACAATAATCTAGGCATGGGATGAGGCAAAGGTAGGGGCAGGATCGTGAGGGGACAAAAGACCGCATGCAAGAGATGTTTCAGAGAAGTGATTGGAATTGGGGTTGACTGGTAAGAGTGTAGGAAAGCATCAAAAACGACCCTGAGATTAATCAATTAAGTGTACAATAATCTCACTGCTTGAGATAGAGAACAAAAAGGATGTGTAGACTTGGAAGAAATAGAAAGAAATTGGTTGGAATATATTGAATGTAGGTATCCACTTACCTCTACGTGGCCATGTCTGGTAAAATACTGGAGATATAGGTCTGAGCGCCAGGGAGATTAGGGCAGAGAGAGACTGTAAACCCATTGAGGGCAAGGACTATGTGATCTTTCTTACTATGTTACGTCAACAGGAGAGATGCTCAATAAGTATTTGTTCAGTGAGTGAATAATTGATAAATTAAATGTTAGCATTGTCAGTTTATGAGTCGTGTTGAATCTATCAAGCAACCACTGCAACAGGTCTGTATTTTTAAAAATATCTTCAAGAGGACAGCTCCTCCTGATGATGTGTCTACTACTCCCCAGGCACTGTGCTAAGTGTCATGCATTATCTCTTTTAATAAAGATATAACAGTATGAGAGGGCTACTTTTCAGACAAGTAAAGTAAGGCTTAGAAAATTTGAATAAGCCACCTAAAGTTACCCAATTAGTAAGTGCCTGAGTCAGATCTGAACCCATGCCCAACTGATTTGGAGTCTAAGTTCTTAACCCCTGTGCTGCACAGTCATGAGCAAAACCTCCTAGAGACTTTCCTCCTCACCAGCCAGGCACGGTATTGCTGCCTGGAAAGCCAAGCCCCCTCAGCTAATATCACCCTGCCTCAGTCTCTTGAGTGATCCCCAATCGGGGTAACCTAGGTCAGGGTTTCTCGACCATGACGCTATTGGCATTTGAGACCAGATGATTCTTTTTTGTGTTGGGGGCTGTCCTGTGCACAGAAATGTTTAGCAGCATTTCTGCCTCTACTCACTATGGAGATGCCAGTAGCACCTCCCCTGCCCCAGTCATGACAATTAAAAATGTCTCTAGATATTGCTAAATATTCTCAGAGAGGTGAAATAGCCCCTGGTTAAGAATCACTGATCTAAGGCAACCTTACTGAACTGAGTTGCACACTTACTGAACTGAGCCCCCAAATAAGCATCTGCCTTACTTCTCACAATACCCCAGAACTATAATTTTTCAGCACTTCTTCCCTGGTTACCCAAGAGAAGACTCAGCTAACCTGAAGTCCGCCTGCTGTAGAACTTTTATACTTTGCTCATGCACTATTTTTGGAGGAGATCCGGATACCCATTTGGTAGAATAACCCAGTGTTGGACACTCCCTTAGCCCTTCTCACTTAACTATCTCTTTTGGTAAAGTTTAAAGAGATTCCTGGAGTAACAATGAAATATTTGTTCCCTGAAGGCAGGAAGATAAATTATTCACCCAACAGATAAGGATCGAACACCACCCACAGTATCTTTTCTCTGGGATTATGCCGTGACAGCCTACTGATGATGAAGGTCTCACAAGGACCCGGTCTTCCTAAAACTGTCATCAAAAGACCCCAACAGAAACTTTTGGGTGGGGTCTGTGTTCCTTGTCTTGACAGCATGAACCACATACCTTTCACCGTGACACTTACTTTTCCCCAGAATCAAGCATGAAAACATTGTGACCCTGGAGGACATCTACGAGAGCGCCACTCACTACTACCTGGTCATGCAGCTGTAAGTGACAGGTGACCCATCTGCTCCCCAGAGGTCTGGTGGGGGCCGGGGGACCTAGAGGAGGTGGCTTGGTGGTGATTAAGAGACAAAATCGAGAGTTAGTTCAAGAGGCTCTGAAGCGCTGAGTCCTTTTAGGTTCAATATGTCTGGTCATGGGAATGAATGTTCTGTGTGGGCCAAGGAGTAAAACAAGGGCTGCTTATTGAGTTGGCACACAGCTACCAGCTGTTAAAATATTTTCTACCAGTTGGCAAGTAGTTGCGACCCCAGCCCATCCGTGTTCCTCTGCTATCCCGCCCCTCCCTTGGGGCATTTTGGACCTGCCCACAACCCAGCAACTGAAGGGGTAACACCGGGCATAGCAGGAGGCTGCCAGAACCTTTCTCTGGAGCCATGACTTGAGTCCATTTTGACCAGTCCATGTCTATCATCCTGAATATTAAATGTTTTGACAGCACTCCAGGGTAAAATTATTATGGAAGAAGAAGCCACATGTAGATAGGTTTCAATTCAACATAAAAAAAAGACTTTCTGAAAAGAGAGCCACCCAAAGTTAAAAATAGGTTGTAATTGTGTGTGTCCACTGTTGGACAAAAATGGGAGCTCACTGCAAAGATCTCTATGTCATTGTCATATCCAGATAAGAATTCTCCTGACAGCAACTGCTGTAGGGGTTGGTCAGTGCTCCTGAGGGCTCAGCAACACTTCTGTTTATAAAGTGAACATACACACACTCACATGCACACACACACATACATGGACACACACACGCACATGCACACACACACATACATGGACACACACACGCACATGCACACACACACATACATGCACACACACGCACACGCACATGCGCACACGTGCGCGCACACACACGCACACGCACACCGCTCTGCAATCTCAGTGTGGCTGGATGCAGTGGGTTTTTGACTGACAGGCCAATTCGCACACGCACATGCGCGCACACACACGCACACACACACCGCTCTGCAATCTCAGTGTGGCTGGATGCAGTGGGTTTTTGACTGACAGGCCAATTCCTCAGAAAATTTAATGGGCTAATTCAGACCCAAGCAGCTGATTAATTCCCAGGCTCACCTGAGCCCAGTAAAGCGAGGCAGGAGAAGTCAAGGAGTGAAGTGGGGAGGGCCCAGAGTGGCCCTAACAAGTGAGCATGGACGATGTGGCACCTTAGCGAGGCCAACTCAAGAGCCACTCAGAAGGCTACAGGGAGGCAGGAGGTGGCAAGGTTAGATGTCCCTGCGGACCAAGCCTCCTAAGAGCCCCAGCTCCAGAACCCAGGCCGCTCAGAGTCAGGAACCCATAGTTGCGCACAAAGAACATCTTTCCTGTGGGTCTCCAGCTCCTCTCACAGAGCCCAGAGCCTAAACACAGAAACAGAAGAAGCAGGATGGTGTGCATATTGATTGGAGAAATTCCAGTGTAGACGGTATTCAAGAGATGGGGGTGGGACTGATCTTTACGTTCCCCTGAGTCCTGAGTTACCATTCCATTTGAGTCTCGAGACACCCCTACGACCCTAAGTGTAACTCCAGCTTCAGGTAGCCCAGTTCTCCAGAATGAGGAAAGAAACCCTGATGCAGCACACTTGGTGTCCTTTGCGCCCCTTCTCTTTCCTGCTTTGCCTGATTCCAGCTCTGTCTCTCTCTTTCATCATGGCTTCCTATGTCCTCGGCCAGGAAGAAAGGCAGCTAAGAAATATATCCACACTATGGGGTTTTTGGCTGTTGGTGCAACCTCAAGTAGGAGCATTTGCATTTTAAAGGAAGTTTCCAGAAAGAGGTCAATGCTTAGCTTGAAGAAATAACTCCCTAGTGATATCATTCCCAGCAGGCATAGGGGGTGTTCTGAGACTGGCGTAGTCCTTTCTGCACTTCTCAAATCATGGTTCATGGGCATCTGCCTTATCCACCATAGCTGTGTCCCCCATGGCTACAGAGCAAACACGTTCTCATTCCTTTGACCTGAAAGAAGAACTAGATTCTTGTCCTTACCCCTGTGCCCACAGCGTTTCTGGTGGGGAGCTCTTTGACCGGATCCTGGAGCGGGGTGTCTACACAGAGAAGGATGCCAGTCTGGTGATCCAGCAGGTCCTGTCAGCAGTGAAATACCTCCATGAGAACGGCATCGTCCACAGAGACTTAAAGGTGCCAAGGCGGGAGTCCGTGGAGGGAAACAGATAATGACCCTTTGGGAAGCTGCATGGCCATGGGGAGCCCAAGGTCTGTAAAGTGAGAGGGTTGGACTACTTGACTCCCAAGCCACTTCTGCCCTCATATTTCTTAAACAAGCCGTGGATGGCTGAACAGTCATTGCAGATTTGCACCTCAGTCTTTTCCTAAACTTTTCACTATGCTCACCCTAGTAGAATACCAAAATAATCCAATTTCTTGAACCCAGCCACAATCAAAATCAAATGCAGCACATACGTATTGAGGGTCTCCATTGCACAGCATCGCACCAGGCTTTGGAGAGGCCAGAGGTGACGAACCAAGGGTTGGTTCCCTAAAAACGCAAACAGTCCTGGGGTAGTTGGGGTTGAGGGGAGGGAGGTTGGTACATTAATTGCTGTAAGGCTGGGCAAAGTCAGGGCCATAAGCAAGATAAAGAGTGCTGGGGTGGAGGGATGAGGTGCAGGTAGGAGGACAGAGGGAAAACAGTGGAAGATGAGCTGTGCCTTGAAGACAGGAGCCAACTGGGCCGGCCCGGTGGCACACTGGATAGTGCGCCGCTTGGGAAGCGTGGCTGCGCTCCCGCCCGAGGGTTCGGATCCCACATACGGACCGGTTCCCGCTCACTGGCTGAG